CTGAGTATCTCACCATCCCAGGATTCCCTATTATGACTTTTATTTTTTTATTTTATGGGTACTGGGAATCAGATTTCCTATTAAATGGTACCAATTTTTCACTAGCCTATGGCTGTTTACTACAGTCTACAAAACGACTGTCACACTCAAAGGGCACAAGAGCCTTCAGGAGGAAGGGGTTTAGGGCAATTAAACTATTACGTTAGTAATTTTACTTATCAAGAGCTCTGAGGGCTGGCCAGATAGCTCAGCAAACTAAAGCACCTGCTTAGGCAGAGCGCAGCAGCCAGGGTTGATCCCGTGTGCTGTGCCAGCCCTACCCTTGAGGTGCACTGAGATGGTGATTGAGACTGGAAGCTTAAGAGGCTGAAAACAGGAGAATCACTATGAGTCTAATCCACGTAGTGAGACCCTGTACTAAATACGTCAAAAAAAGAGAGCTCTGAGAGGGGCTGTCTGTGGCTGCAAGCATCTGTAATCCCAGCTATTCAGGATGCTGAGGCAGGAGGATCAAAAACTTATGGCCAACCTGGACAGTTCAAGAAGAATCTGTCTAAAATGAAAAGGGCTGGGAATGTAACTCAGCAGTACAGCATTTGCCTAGCATGCAAAAGGCCATGGGTTTAATCCTGAGTACTGCAAAGACAAAAAAAAAAAAAAAATAAATGTAATAAATAAAAATAAATAAATATAAAAAAAAAAAAAAAAAAAAAAAAGAGCTATGAGGTCATTCATAGCATAAAAGCATAACTCTATCAACCTTTACAGTACTATAAGGTGGGGTGGGGTACAACTTGCAGAAAGTGAGAACTCTGGGGTCCCTTTCATTTCAGGATAGCAATTGGTTGATTGCTTGGCTTGTGCCAGCAAACTACTAACTGGCAAAAATAGAATCAGATCAAATTAAACTTTTAAGAGTTTATTGTGTTACCCACGAGCAGCCCATGAATCAGGAGACTGCAAACTGAGATTGACAAGACATCTGCAATATAGCAGTAATAGGCTGATTTATAAAGTATGAGAGAGGAAGTATTTCAACCTTTTTCTAGATTGGCTGTCACATATTTTTTCTAAGGCAAGCAGAGCAGTTTAAAGTGACTTATCTGTGCTGGGCATGGTAGTGCATGCCTGTAACCCCAGCACTCGGGAGGCTGAGGCAGGAGGATCACTGTGAGTGTGAGGTCAGCCTGGGCTACACCACCAGCTTGAACTGCATAATGAAACCTTCTTAAACACACACACACACACACACACACACACACACACAAAAGTGACTTGTAGCTGATTGGGTTAATTCTATTGAAACATGCTGGTAAGAACTAAAATCTTTTTTTTTTTGTTTGTTTTTTGCAGTCAGTGTTTGGGAAGCAATAAGGATGAATTAAGTTTTGGCCTTGTGGCTATAGGGATATCTAAACTATTAGTCCTGGGATATCTAAACTATGTTCCCCATTTTTACTTATCTATTTATTTAACAACTCTAACTTTATTATGTGCATCACTACCTGTTCCTCCTGTTCATTCTTTTTCTTTTTTTTTTTTGCGGAACGGGGTATTGAACTCAAGCCCTTGCACTTACTGAGCCATCTCCCTGGCCCCTCCTGTTCATTCTTGAATCTACACTTTGAACTAGGAAAAATTATTATCTCTATTTCATAACTGTGGAAACAACTTGCTTAGTGCTACACAGTGAGGAAGTGGCAGAACTGGTCTTGGAACTCAATCAGCCTCACTCAGATCCCGCTCATCCTGCCTCCAGGGTCTCAGAATGTATCTTTTCCAGCAGAAAGGATTTAATTCCTGCGTAGCTGATTGTCCATAAGGGGACCAGGCTCCTTGGTACAGGGTATTCAGGTTGGAATGGAATCTGGAGAGCTCACCAGAAGCTAGCAAAGATCTGGGGGACCAAGAGAAAGTGAAAGGCCTTCTGGGGCATCCTCAAAAGTTTTAATCCACTTTTGCAATGGTTTGTCTTTCACTTTGAAGTAAAAGACAGGAGCTCCTGCAGGCAGTGTAGTATGTGGCTAGAACGCAGGCTCTGCAGTCCACCTGCCGAGGAAGGAAGCCTCATCACCGCTCTGGACCTCTGTCCACCTGGGCGTGCTACGCAAATTCTGTACCACTGAGCCACATCTTCAGCCCGAGGGGGAGATTTTGTTATAAGAAGCTGTCAAATACAGAGCCAGGACAGGGTTCTATTTTTCTTTAATTCCAATGTAACACGGCCTCCAGTATTTTATCTGCTAAATCTGATGATAATCTTAGCAGTAGGGACTTACTGAGTATTTCTGGAACAAATGGTTAAACGAGTGGGCTTTTGGAGGGGGGACTTGGCTCTGAATGCAACTTGAGGCAAGACCTTTTTATCAACAGCCTTTCCCTGAGCCAATTTTCTCATCAAAATAATGAGAATTTGGGCAGACACCATAGTATAGGGGTAGTCAAAATAGGAGAACGCTGGATGAACTATCAAGAGAAGGGAGGGCGGCCAGGTATCTCAGGTCACTAGACTGGTGGGGTCCACAATTACTCTCGCCCTCCTCCCCCGAGGCTCTAGGGCTCTCCAGGGGCTGTCGCTATGGAGACGCGGGCAGCCAGGAGCCCCTCCCTCACAAAGCCACGCGTTTCCGCTGCGTTGGAGCCTTGTGATTGGACGGCTACCTGGACTCTACCACCCGCCCTGAGCCTGCTAAGGGGTGGGGGCGGGACCTTATCCTCGTGGGACTTTTGCTCTAAAGACTTGTGCTTGTGGCGTTTCTGGAAAGCCTGGGTCTTCTACTTTACACGGGGGAAAAGGGTCGTCTCTTTAAGCCGAGAAAGTGTGAGCTGCTTCTTTTTCTAGGGCTTATGCTAAAACCTCTCCCTGCAAAAAAAGGGGGCGGGAACGACAGCAACGCCCCCTCCAGAGCCTAGTCCGTCCCAAGATCTGGAGTACCGGAAGTGCTGGCGACGTGTCAGTGCGCCCTATGCTAAACCTTCCCCGCAGGCCACCTTTCTCATTCAACTATGGGATTCCGGGGCCGCCTGGGCGCTGCACCCGCCACTTCCGCACCGAACCGCCGATTCAACCGAACTCCCTCCCTCTGCGCGCGCTCCATCTCAGGCCTTGTGGTTGGGTGGAAGCCTAGTACTGGCCACGCCCCTTTCTGCGCCTACTAGCCAATGGGAGGGAGGCTCCCGGCGGAGTGGTGGGTAATTAATGAGGGCCTGGTGCTGATTGGCTTCAGGGTCACGGCCGGGGGTTGGACGGCGGGGTAGGTTGTTCCTGAGGTGGGAGGCGGCACCCGTGGCTGAGCAAGGGGCCCGCAAGCGACATGTCTCCGGCGGTTGAGGCGGAACGGCCAGTGGCGCTGTGTGATTGAGTCCGGGGCGGCCTGGCGGCCTGCCGAGGACGAGGGTCGGCGGGGGCTGCACCCGCATTGGTGGCCGCCATGCTGAGGCCCTGGGCGGTTGAAGGAGCCGCTGTGGCGCTTCTGCGACTACTACTGCTGCTGCTCCCGGCGCTCCCCGAGCCCGGGCTCGGCGTGGCTCGCGCGGCTGGGGCCGGGCTGCCCGAGAGCGTCATATGGGCCGTCAACGCGGGCGGCGAGGCGCATGTGGACGTGCACGGGATCCACTTTCGCAAGGACCCTTTGGAAGGCCGGGTGGGCCGAGGTGAGACCCCCTCCGCCGAGCCGCGGGACCGGGGGTCTGAGGTGCGGGTTGTAGCCAGAGGATGGCTGCGAGCTCTGAGCCTTGTCCTCGACTCTGGGGCTACGTCTCGAGCGAAGTTTTTCTCCTGTTTCCTAAAGGACCTGGTCTGAGCCCAGGGCCTTGAACCGGCTTGAAGCTACCTACCAAGAGCGATCGAGGCAGAGCATGGACAAGAAGCTATATTTGGACCTTGCATCCTGCGTTTTCTCAATCCCTTACCTCAGCCCACGCTAGGATAGTGAAGACAAGGGTGACCTCCAGCCCTCTCATCTACCCAGGCCTCGAGGATGCTCTGGTCTCTTCTATGGAGAGAGTTCCTGGTAGTTGCTTGCAGACCCAGAAATCAGTCGCTTTCCCTGAACCTTTTTCAGGAGCGGGACTTGATTCTTAGCCGAGAATAGCCAGGAATCTTTGAAGAGGTTGGGCCAGGAAAGTGTGCTAGTAGCCTTCTCCTTCACCCAACCTCCACTGGGGTGAGGAATATGTGTGCCTAAAAGTAGAAGCCACCCAAGAAGTGGTTATATTGAGCCATCCTGCCTGTGAGGTTGGTGGCAGTGTGTCAGCTGGGTCAACTCGTGTAAGATCTGAGTATCACAGAGTGCAACAGCCTCCCCCAGGTGGTCTCAAGCATAATTCCAGTTGGGGGGGGGAGTGATTGTGACTTAACTGGTTGAGCAACAGTGGTTTTTACAGTTTCACAATTCCTAAAGGTAGTTTGTGTAGGAGTTGCTAGAGGAGGTGGTTAAAAATGTAGATCCTGGTCCCCATTCCAGTACTAATAGATAAAAATAAATTTTCTTTGCTGTAACCCAGGTTTCTGCAGCAGGGGCTTCTGATGTAGCCTTCTCACAGACCTCTGTCTGGAGAAGTCTGTTCTGGATTCTTTGTTTCTTCTGTAAGTGGTATTGGAAAACAGGTTTAAGGAGGAAGTTCCTAGCTTCATGTGTTGGAAGGAGATTTATGCTGTGTTCTAGCTTCAGAGGCTGCCAAATTGGCAATATGCCACTCCAGACACCTAAGATAGACTTTTCTCTCATTTTTTCCACGTTGTTCAGATTTGACATTTGGCCTTTATTAAAGAGTTTAATTTAGTGTCTTGCAAATTTTATTGCTTTTCTACATGTGAGGGTCTTGGGACACAGAGATGTGTTCTCAAGTTCTATGTTTGTCTTGGAATTTATTTACCCCTGGCACGTAGGTCTTAGGAGCCAGGGTTCAGCTGAGTCAGGACTCCAGGCTTGGAGCAGGCAGAGCCAGACTTTGTAGGGCATTACTATCTGTATGCTAGACCTTCCTCTTTCTCAGTGAGTGTGGTCAGGGAGGAAGGAGCCCTTTGAGGAAACTTAAAGACAGTTTGTGGACTTTGCCTATTGAGATAACTGTGGTGAGGATAGTGTGCTGCTGGTTTCTTTCAATTAGTAGAAATCAGGCATTACGTCGTTGGTTACGTTCTTTTACCTCTGAGATGAAAAAACAGATTACAGCCCATACTCAGAAATTCTGATTTAATTTGCTGGTAACACGTATGCTTTTGTTTTATTTTGTGTTGTTGTTTTGACCTGTTCAGCAGCAGTCAGCCAGGCTGTCCAACCTATTGGTGGCAGGTCCTTGGTAGTTTAGTGTAGCAGGTAAAAATCAAATGAGATCTACCAGAGCTCATGCATATTGGAGTCGGATTTTGTACACTGGCCTTTAGGGCATTATATAGATGAGAGATTCTTAGCTCTGCTTGGCCTGCCATTCTGGGTATGAAATTAGGCACCGTTAGGGCACAGATCAAGAGAAAAGGGGTGAGCGTTGCCACGTGCAACTTGGACCAGTTGTTGCAACATTGGATTTAACCAGGTTCCTGAGAGTCACATTTTGCTTGCAGCAGGTCTGGGACTGTGATGTGTTTAAGCTTCTACACAGCAGTCAGCTCCTCCAAGGGAGGTGCAGTTGTTCGCTCTGCCTTTCCTCCTCTGCTCTCATGGATAAGGGTGTGCCAGGTATTTGGAGACCCTCACCTCATGCAGCTATTTACACTAATTGCCATGGGAGCTGTGTGTCTTACTTCTTTTCTGGTGTGCTTGTGGTACTGTTTCCAGCACTCTCAGGAAAGTTTATTATATGTTGAATGAATTCAGGTATTTGTTGCCAAGTTAGTCAGATAAGAGCTTGTCCTGTTTTTGAACTTGCTGTTTTTCTATGGTTTCTTTGTAGTTCAGCATTCTTGTAACTGAGTAGCCCGGGGCACCTGCTGGCTTATACTTTCAAAGGTACTTTCATAGTGTTTGTTGAATTTTATTTCTGCCTTGAGGATAGCTAGTTCTAATAGCCTGGGAAAGGCATTTTTGAGTCTGCTTCAACAGATGAAAAATGCCACTATAAAGCTAGTTCAGAGCCAGGAATGGTGGTGGCACAAGTCCACAATCCTGGCACTCTGAGAGGCTGAGGCAGGTGGATCTGTAGTTTAAGCCCCAACTGTGTACTTTTAGTGACTTAGCAAGACCCTGTCTTAAAAAATAAAGGCCAGGTATGTTGATCAGTGTGGAGGCCCTGGGTTCAATCCCTACTACTGCCAAAAAAATTGAAAGGAATAAAGTTCAGCCACATTCACCTTGAGATTTTGGCGGGATGTTTATTCCAGGTTCTTTTTTAACTTGCTTATTCTGGGTTCTTTACTCTGACTAGGAAAACACCTGATTATTTGGCTTAAGGGCACAGAATTTGGCTTGGCTTTAGGGAAAGGCTGCTTTCCTCTTCATGGAAAGATACCTGCTAAAGTTGTATAACCTTGAGGAATTTCCTTTATTTCTCTGAGCCTTGTTTTCCTTGTCAATAATACTTTTTATGCTTTAGAAATTGCTGACAGGATTTTGAAAATTCTTCTGTCCAAAGTAGGGTAAGTTTCACTATCTCTCCCTCCACACACTCACTTGATGACCTTTCACATGGAATTAAAAATAGGGCAGAACATGGCCCCATGGGGAGAAAATCCTGGCCAGAGACCTGAGCCTATCCAATTACTAATCTGTAATCTTAAGGAAAACCCTTTTTGGGCAGCTTTCTGTCTTTTGGGGAAGGATTTGGCCTGGGGAGATAAGAGCTTGAATGATAGGGTGAGAGATAAGAGTGTCACTGCTGCCTGATTTGCTTATGGCCATGGAATTTGTTTAGAATTCTCTCCTTACACTGTTGCCGCCTGACGCCTGACGGGGACACTTCATTTGCAGCCACTCCCAAGTATTGGAAGTCCACATGTAGAACATTTAGGTCATTGAATCCCTGGGTTCCTTGCCTTAGTCCATTCAGAATTTTATTTTTTTTCCCCCCCCCCCCAGATGGAACCCAGGGCCCTAGCAGGGCTCTCTCCCCCCCACCCCCCCCCTTTTTTTTTTAACAGTTTGAGGCAGAAGCTGTTTAAATTGTTCAGGCTGGTGTTGAAGTTCGCCTCAGCTGCTGCTTTTTTTTTTTTTTGTATTTTAGGACAGGATCTACAGGGTCTCATTGTTTAGATCAGACTTATAGTGATCCTCCTGTGTATGGCTTCCCAAGTGCTGGGATTACAGGCGCATACCACCATGCCCAGTCTCAGTCTTACTGCGCTCCTGGGTGGGGCCGGGCTGGGCACGTCAGGCCCAGGGATCGAACTCCTGGTAAGCAGGTGCTTTAATCCGCTGAGCTATCTGGCTGGCCCTTCACTTCAGCTGCTTCTTTTTTTTTTTTTTGGCAGAACTGGGCGCCTCAGCTTTTTGAGTGACTGCAACTATGGACATGTGCTACCATGCCCAGGCACAATTAATTATTTAGGAACTAGCCTTATTTGAAAATTAGTGATTCAGAAGAATCCTCTAGTGATCAAGTGGCTTGGTGTCAGGGTGCTGAGCAGACGGAGACATTCGGGAGCGCCACAATGAACTCTATGGCAGTCATCTCACATAGAACAGGTTCCTGCGTATTGTGGTGTTTTTTGCTTCCATGCTTCCCAGGTGCAGTTTTCCAGTTAGTTTTATTACTTCCTCTTTCTTTTATTTCATCTCTTAACTCCTAAAAATATAGGCATTTATTTAGGGCTTATTGTTTGTATGTCCTGCAGCTGCCATAAGCAGATTTCTCTAAAATACAATGAATTATACAGTCACACTACTCAGAAATCTGTTTAGTTGTGAAAGGGTAGGGAGGAAAGAAAAATCCCTCATGTTGCTGCATCTCTTGGGGCTTGGGCAAATGTAACTTGGCTATTCCCTTAGGGCAGCCACTTGGGCTTTAAAGGGAAAAATACTTAAAGCTAATTCCAAGGTTGTTCAGTAACTTTTGTTCACATGGTTGAATTTTCAATCTCAACTGCAACAGATTACATTCCTGTCAGTTTCTCACTTTTTCCATTTGGCAGGAAAAGAAAGATCTCCCACACATGCAGACAAAATTTTCTGTGTATCAATAAATCAAATCTAGTTAAGGTACCAGGTTTGTAAGGATCACAGTCTTTATGGCAGAAGGAAGTTCTTAGAGCGCATTTGGAAGAGAAATAGAAGTCTTTTAGTCTATTTAGGTGAGTGTCTAGGAGAAATTTGTGTGTGTGTGGGTGTGTGTGTGGAACCGGGGATTGAACTCAGGACCCTGCACTTGCCAGGCAAATGCTTATTCTACTGAGCCATCTCCCTGGCCCTGAGAAATGGGTTTTTGAGTCTGGGAAAAAGCTGTGGGGGGTATTAGCAGTGAATCCTTTGTAATGTCACCCTTCTTTGATGTCTTGAGAAGAGAGGAAGAAAAAGTCTGATACAAGTGCAGTGAGTTTCCTGTTCCATTGTCTCATCAGCCCATCTGATCTCATGGGTAATGTCAGTTACAGGAATTGTTAACAGTTATGTTTATTTTGTGTATGGGGGTATGCTTGACCTTAGTCACTGGGTCTCTTAGTTAATCTGTTGTCTTTTACCACATCCTCTCTTGAAATTTTGGTGTTTCAGAAAATGTCTGGGAATGCTGCTCCTAGGTATCTCCTAAAGAATTTCAGGGCCAACTGTCTTTAAGGTCACCATGTGAGATTGGAAGGCGATCTTTTCTTTTTGTCCTTGAGACAGGGTCTCAAGACAGTATCTTAGGGGCCGGGGAGATGGCTCTGTAGAATAAGCTCTTGCATGGCAAGCGCAGGGGCCTGAGTTCAATCCCTGGTTCCGCAAAAAAAAAAAAAACAGTATCTTGCTATACTGGCCTGGAACTCATGGCTGTTATCCTGCCTCAGCCTCCTAGAGTGCTGGAATTATAGGTGTACCACCGTATCTGGATAGGTAACTTTTTTCTCTTACTCAGCCTTACTTCTTGTCACTTTGTGAAATACCAAAGGTACCTACCCAGGACTTGGGATATCTTAAGCCAGAGGTGTCAGTAGGACCTCATAGACTTTCCTTCAGGGTGCTGGAGCCTCGTGCTGACAATGGCATGGTTTCTCTGCTTTGCAGGCCCATTCTGCATTGTCGTGATTGCCCTTTGTTCATCTGGCAAACATACCCACTACATGCTAGGCACTGTGCTGGGTACAGATGCTATAGTAGAACTGTTCTTTTCTGTTGGTTTTACTGAGGAAATATTCAAGAGAGTAGGTGGAGCTTTTTGAGTCTGTGGGGAGCAGAATGCTCGGACCTTAAAAAAAAAAAAAATTAGAGCACATCATCCTTTTAATGAGCTGCTTGTCTTTGCCAGCCTGGGTTCTTTTTGAATTGAAAAGTTTTAAAAAACCAAAGCTAGAATCTTATTTGTAATGAAGACACTAAAGATTTCCCTAACCAGATAATCCTGTTTAGACTGTGCTTTTTCTGATTGAAAAAAAAAAAAATGGACTTAATCACCTTGATTAGAGTTTCTGACTGTTGCCCTGGTTACAGGAAGTTTCTCCGCAGCTGTCCCTCTTGGGAACCAGGCACCTGCATCATAGCAGTTTCTTCACATAATGAGGCAGACTTATTCCCATTCCATCTTTCTCCTGACAGTTGAGAAAAGTTATTGTAATGTGCTTTCATAAAGCTTACCGGTTGTAAGGGCTATTGGATGATTAGTGTCTAGTTTCTTTTATGTTACTCTTCCATGGTAATGGTTATCTGATTCCTGCCTTTTTGTGAGCTCTGTTGGAGCCAGGTGCACAGGGGGTGACTCCTTCTACTTGGAGAGTTACAGCATTGCCCTTGGAAATGCCTATGGCAGTTCTGGGGTCTCTGCCTTTTTATGTCTTGCTTCTGAGGTCCTTTCTTTTTGTCTTTGTTCTCAGCCTCAGATTATGGCATGAAACTGCCAATCTTGCGTTCCAATCCTGAGGACCAGATCCTCTATCAAACAGAGCGGTACAATGAGGAGACTTTTGGCTATGAAGTGCCCATCAAAGAAGAAGGGGACTATGTGCTGGTGTTGAAGTTTGCTGAAGTGTACTTTGCACAGTCCCAGCAAAAGGTAAGGCCCAGTCAGGCCCCTGCTTGAAAAGAGGGACATTGCTACTCTTGGACAGTCCTCTGTTATGGTGCCTGAGGTCTTAAGAGCCTCCCCAGAAGGGATGAAGAGATGAATTTAAGGAAGTTCGATTCCTTCTACACTTAGAGATCTGTGCTATTCACCCATGTGCTTGCACTCTCTGAGGGTTGGCATCAGAAATGCTAGAAGCCTAGTTCTTGGCTACTAACTGGTCCTCTGAAGGCCTTCCTGTCCCCCTCCTTAGTTTTTAGCACCTTTTTGTTTTTAGCTTTTTTGTTTTTCTTCTGCCGTCTCTTTCCATACTGAGCTTTGTGGTTTTGTTCTTTGTATGAAACCTTCTTGGCAATAAAGCAACATAGTTGGGATTGTTTTGTTTTTGAGACAAGGTAGACAAGGTCTCTCTCTGTAGTTCAGGCTGGCCTTGAACTCACTGTGTAGCCTGAGCTGGCTTCAAACTTGCAATGATCATCCTGCCTCAGCCTCCTGAGTGCTGGGATTATAGGCATGCGCCACCACACCCAGTGCGCCATGATTTTAATTTGGCGCAGGTAAAGGATTCTAATCACTGTGAAGTATACCCAGACCTGTCATTTCTTAAATTATTTTTCAGCTTGAAGCCTAGACAGGTGCATGATCTTCAGTTCCTTGAAGGTGTCTGCAGCTGGTGGTTTTGACATTGTTTTACTCTTTAATCCTGGAAGGTATTTGATGTACGACTGAATGGCCATGTTGTGGTGAAGGACTTGGACATCTTTGATCGTGTTGGACACAGCACGGCTCATGATGAAATCATCCCTATGAGCATCAGAAAGGGGAAACTGAGTGTACAGGGGGAGGTGTCTACCTTCACAGGGAAACTCTACATTGAGTTTGTCAAGGTAACTCATCGCTTGCGGGAAGGGCTTAGAGATCAGGTGATAGGAAGTCATTTGCCACCATGTGAGGTTCACCCCTCTTTCCTGTTTCCTAGGGGTACTATGACAATCCCAAAGTCTGTGCACTCTACATCATGGCTGGGACAGTGGAAGGTAAGTTGGGCCTTTGACCTGCCTTTTGACTTGTGCTGAAGGTTAAGGTTAAGGAAAACCTTGGGAAATTATTTAACTGGTCATTATTTTGGAATCACTTTCAAGCCATATTGTGGGCAACTGAGAGTCAGATGGCTGAGGACAAAGTATGACATGGAACTAACCACAGGCTTTGAAGGAAGGTATATGATCAGAATTGCTGCTATTAGCTGTTTTACCTTGGAAAATTTTTTAACTTCTGTACAAACCAGAATTAATAATGGCTTCATTGGGATGCCTGATTCTTGTACTCATTTGGAATTGCCCAAAACTTGTCTTCATTCCATTTCTTTGTTTGATATATGTTTTCTAGGGGAGGGGGCAAAAGAAAAAGTTTCTTAGGGTTCTGGTAGATTCTGAAGGACTCTGTTGCTGTACTACAGTGGGAGAAAAAGTCTTTTATTAATATCACTTTGACCTTGGGATTGAGACTTAGGTATCTTTTTCCCCAAGATTTAGATTAACCTAGCTGCCAGTGCCCAGGCTGACTTTTGCAGAGAAAGCTTGTGTCATAGTGGCCTTTCTCCATCCCACTTCTGTTCTTATCCCCCACTCATCTGAATGCACCGAGGATCCAGTCCTCTTGTCTTGGTGACATTTAGAAAGATGGTACCTTACAACAAACTGTTCTGTGTTTGAACCCCCAAGGAAGAGACAAGACAAGTGCAATGTGGGCCAGAGCCCAGAAATCCATAGATCAACTCTTCTTCTGTCACTGTGCGAATTGAAAGGAAATGTGGACTTATGGGAGGAAGGAGGAAATAGTTGAAAGGTTAAATTTTGAGAGCCAGGTCATTGCCCCTGGCTAATCTGGATGTCTGAAAAAGTAGGGCCTCCTCTGGCTACTTTTTAGTTAAATCTAAAGAAGACTAGTGCTCATGCTTTGCCGTTCTGTAGGCTAGCGACATTCTGCTATTTGTGTTCCTTCCTGTGGCCACCGATTAGGTCATAGTGTTGTGCTATGTCTCCCCCACCCCCATTTCACACTGAGCTATATACTCACTAAGTGGCCCGGGCTCAGCTCAAATTTATAATTCTGTGTTACAGGATTCTTATAGCTCATTTGCTATTCTTTTTTTTTTTTTTTTTTTATTTTAGGGAAGGGCCTATAGGGTGTTTAGGGTCTCACTACTAGATCAGACTTGTAGTGATCTGCCTGTTTATAGCCTCCCAAGAGCTGGCATTACAGGCGTATGCCACCATGCCCAGTCTCAATTGCCATCTCAGCATACCCCAGGGGCGGGGCTGGCATGGCAGGCCCAGAGATCAAACCCCCAGCCCCTGCACCTGCTTGCAGGTGCTTTTAATCCTCTGAGCTACTTGGCCGGCTTCATTTGCTGTTCTTAAGGGTCTTAAATGCTGTGGTGGGCCTTACTTCATAGTTATTTTCTTTCTTGTGTTAGATGTACCAAAGCTGCAGCCTCATCCAGGATTGGAGAAGAAAGAAGAGGAAGAAGAAGAAGAAGAATATGATGAAGGGTCTAATCCCAAAAGACAGACCAATAAGAACCGGGTGCAGTCAGGCCCCCGCACACCCAACCCCTATGCCTCGGACAACAGCAGCCTCATGTTCCCTATCCTGGTGGCCTTTGGAGTCTTCATTCCAACCCTCTTCTGCCTCTGCCGATTGTGAGAATAAATGACCATCCTGAGCAGGGTGGAGGGGAGTGGGAAAGAAACCAAACATGTTGGTTTTGGTTTCTATATTTTTCACAATGATTTAACACCCCCCCCCCCCCCAACAAAAAAAAAGAAAAAAGAAAAAGAAAACCCCACAGACACAAATGGTAAAGGAGATAAAAAGAGGCTGAGTGAGTGGAGAATAGCTTTCATCTACCACCTGGTCCCAGACCTGTTTCAGTCCTAGTCTCTCTGTGGCTGGCCCCCAGCTGTCTCTTTCCTCTCTGGGGTACTTAGGGTAAATGGGTCCTTCTCAACAAGGATCCTCATTTATATACATAGTGGAAAGGACTCTGAACTCAGAGCAGTCTTGGTTCCTTATTTAGATTAGAATTTAGCAGCAAGCAGATGTCATCTTTATTACCTGAAAAGACCAGCAAGGAGAGCTGGATATGTTCTGAAGTCGTGGCCACATTGTCAGATGTCTTGGGATTCAAAGAATGTGTTTGTGCAGGTGTATAAGATGTATGGTAAAGACAAAAGGAATTGAAAAAAAAAATTTTTTTTAAGTAAATGCTTCCTTACTTGGAAGACTTTTTCTTGATTAATCCAGTGATGGGTCCATCTCAAGTATTTGAGCTTTATTGTTACTTATCTCCTTGCCATGTGCTAGTTAGAGGACTGTCTGGTATCCAAGATGATTAGATTAGTTTTATGTCAGGTCCTCAAATTGCCTCTCACTTGTTACCACAGCAAATCATTTTTATTTTAGTGCCTGTTGGGGACTTGATTTCAGTTTTTTTTTTTTCTTAATCTGGCTCATTTGGAATTTCTGCTACCTGTTAGCCATCTCACTAAGTTATTACCAAAAAGGGAAGGAAACATGGAGGTTTCATTCTCTGCTCAAATGTCTTATCCTCCACCACCTCACCTTATTGGTATCTCCCTCCCTGGATCTCTGAGCCAGCAGCCAGGAAGACCTGACCCAGCAGTTCTATACTGGCCCTTTTGTAGGGTCTGCTGCCAGGGAACAGGGACACTTTCCAGCCTGCAGCAACAGAACACTTGACCTTAAAAGTCTCTTCTGGTCTTTGATTAGAAAAGGCTTATGTTAGCATAATTTAAGAGCAGCCTCAGAGACTTGAGCCCTACTAAGTGACTGACCACTGTTCAGAGTGTCTAGTATCTCATGTTCATTTATTCCCATGTCCTTTGTCACAGTTCAGCCAGGAACTAGGCTTCCCCTAGGTAACAAGAACGAGTGACTGGATCAGCCCAGCAGTTTCTTGTTGATCTTAATAGTATGCCTCTCCATCCTTTTATCTCCTTATCCAAGTAGCAGTCAGGTTTCAAAAGATTCCCAGTTGGCCTATTGTTGGCAGCTCTGAAAGCTAACCTTAGCATCTAAGTGTCTGTCTTGAATTCTTGGCAAATTTTCTGCAGGAAATGAAGCTTCCTTGTTCCCCTCCTTTCTGAACACAGGTCATCCTCTTCCCAGTTAGGGCAACATGAGGTAGGAGCCAGCCAATCTGAGAGGAATTTTGTGGATGGGAGGCAGAGGATTAGCTTTAGTTTGGGCTAGAGCAATACAGAATTTCAGGCCAGGCGCATAGTTTTGGAGTGTGTTTAATTTTGAGTTTGGTTTATTGGAACTTCATGTATTTGAGCTATTCTTTATGGGACAAAGTAAATAGCTCCTGGGTTCATGTCCTGGCTTTGGCTCTTAATGATTATTCCAGGCCAGTGTTTAGTCATTGAGAATCGTAACCCCTTATTTTCACTGTGACTTGGGCCTCTGTCCTAAGGTACTAAGTCAGGTAGCTGAATGGCTATGGCCTGAAGCAGCAGTCAGGAGCATTTCCTGGAGTGCTTCCGAAGCTTCTCTGCTTCTAAAGGAAGAAGTACTGTAGCCTTGGTTTTGGGGACCACCTGCCTAGGACATTAGATGTCCGGACTAGTTGGGCTTTTGATGGTGGCTTTGGTTCTAGTTCTATCATAACTCCCAAAGCTGTGGGCCTCTGTCAGTGGATAAGGCAAAATGAAGGACTAGTTGTCTACATTTTGCCTTGTTAGTTTGCCTGGATCTCTTAGGAAGGAGGGATCCTGCCACCTCACCTCAGCCCAACCCTTCAGTGACTCAGTGTCTCAGAAGGAAGCCTTGACTCCTGGGGCCATTTCCTAATGGTACTGTAAGCCAAGCAGCTTTGCTTCTGCTTGTTTCCAAGCCCACCCCTTTCCCAAGGGATAGGGATAGGTGCTTTCCTCTCTGGTTGTGTCCAAAAGGAAGGAACATCTTTCTGTGGCAACAAAAGCTAAAGAGGAAGTGAGGAAATGGGAAGAAGCGTGGTGGGGGCTGGTAGATTCCCTGCAGCTGAGCCCACCCAGCTCACAAGCGCTGCCTAGGGCTGGCCATAGCCAGCTCGTGATGCTGAACTTGAAAACTTTTCCCTTGGCTCCTCCAAGATGATATAGGTACATGAAATTTAGGTTAAAGAGGTGGGATGGGGTGTGCTTTATGTTTATTTCTGAATTGTGTTATGTTAATTACTATTCATCTTTGCTTTTTGCACTGTGTGTTCCCCGTCTGTATTTTTGAACTAGTGAGAGAACTGAGAGGCTGCACTTACAGTGAGGGAGGTGAGGCCTGGGCATCTCTACTTGATTTAACTCTGTCGTAGGTTTTAGGGCTCAGTGGGCCCAGCAGGTCAAGAAAAGAATAGCCACGTGCCTCTAGTCCTGTTACTGTCAGTATGTAGAGATGTCGGCTGAATATGGACCGAGTGTCTGTGGTCTGGTCTGGTCTGGTCTGGGCCAGGGGCTAGCCAGTCTCTGATGGGGTCTTCCTCATGCTGATGGAAATATTGTGCCAAGAGACTATCTGTGGGGTCCATGTCCCCTAAACCAAATCCACTTTTCTGAAAAGTCTCCACTCCTGAGCAGGAAACATTGCTCAGTGGATACCCTGAGCTCTGGTGATTTTAAAGGTAATCTCCAAGTGACCTTGGTTTCTGACTCCAGGAGGACCAGCCCTGACCTGCAGGGCCTTCTGTGGCTTGCAGGGCAAGGTCATGTTCTCTGGCTCCCACAGACCTGGAGATACTGAGGTCACATTAGGTCTTGTGGGCTTTGATGAGATGGGGTAGTTCTGTGCCTGGGAACTGTTTGATCCAGTGTTGGAAGTGTGACTTGACTTCTTTATCTTTTTGGAGAAGCTTCTGTTTTAAGGAATTTCTCTTTTTGTCCTGCCTAGCCTCTTCTGGGAAGGCCTAACCCTGGCTTCTAGAGTCTCAGCTGAGAACTTCAGAAAACATCAGTATTTTCCTTTTCCTAGCACTTAGGTCCCTTTCCCTAGAAATTGGCTCACCAGGGGATGCCCAAGGAAAGAACTAGAAGGTTCTCTCCCCTCCTTGGGCACTGGGGAAGGACCCACCCCGGTCAGCACAGTGCCTTTTCCTCTCCTGCTCTGAGCCAGGGTGGGTGTTCCCTCTAGATTCAGGTGTGTGTGTTGGGGGCTTCTACAGTCCTGGTCTCGGGCCTGCTTTCCTATGCCACTTCCCCTTGGCTGGCCTACTCTGACATAATTCAAGTGTCTTCTTGCCTTGAGAAGCCTTAATGGCATCAAGTGGCAACATGTAACATTGCCCTCCATGCCACTAAAAGGACTTAAGGGAGAGCAAGTGAGAGACTTAATAGATGCTCCTGTTTTGTTTTGTTTCTTAAAGATAGGGCTGGGGAGGTGTGCTTTGGGCCTCTTGCTGTGGCCCCTGAGGAAGGAAACGGGTAAGACTAAGCACGTGAGGGCACTGAAGCAGAGCCAGCAACACCACGGATCTACTCAAAAACCTGCCTCTTTTTGGGGGAGGATATAATTAGGGATCAAAGAGCTCTAAGAAAATTGCAAAGAAGCCTTAACGTTCAAGCTTCGGAGAGACCCAGAGCTGTTTTCCCTTTCAGTTTGAGCTAGGACTCTGTATTTGGACCTTACCTGGGGCAAGAGGGCTGTTTCCTTATGCTGTTACAAGACATGCTTGGCCCCGGGGAGGGCAGGGCTCTGCGCAGAGGAGGCTTGCTGCCCTTCTGGTTTGTCCTTCCCTAGCTGCTTTGTCCTGTTCACTTTGGGCAGGCAAATCGGCCAAATTGTCTTGATAAGAGCAGATTTGGGGACTGGTTGGGTTGGCAGGAAAAGAGCAGGCTGGATCTCTTGGGGCGAGTTTCTCCCGGGAGTATGAAAACAAGGAGCCAGGACTGTGCTGGCAGCTAGGGAAGCACTCGTGCCTGCTCAAGTTGGCAGAGAGGGCCTTGGCACCATGCACATCCAGGCAGTCTTGTGAGATGGGAGCATGTACCACCCAGAAAGGCAGAGCTCCATTCTCACCTCTATTTTGAGCTTCAGTGCTTTATTTCAATATGAGGAAAAACAACAACAAACTGAAGTGTGCTTTCCGTCCTTTCAAAGAACAACTGTCGGGAAAGGAGAGCTAAGATGCCAGATAGGAGGGGAGAATTGGCAGGAGAGACATTTTGGCAAAACCAGGAAAGACATTCTTGACTTCCCTGGTGTGTCATGATCCAGGGAATGAGAAGAAATTGGACCCTGGATTAGCTCCCTCCTTGGATTTGAGGAACGTTACCTTTCCCTTCCATGAAGGTCTCCCAGGCTAGGACCAGCTGCCCATTCTGAGCTCAGGGCAGTCTCTTCAACCATCATTGGCCTAACCTGGCTTGTCAGGAACCAACCCTGCCCTTCCTGTGCTCTATTTGGTACCAAGTATTGGTGAAAAAGTGTCAAGTCCTTGGTAGTTCCTACTCTCCTTTCCCATCCTCTCCCTGCAGAGGTCAAACAACTCTTTGTAGCTACAACATACATTTACAGCAGCAGCACAGCAAGATGTACTTGCGGGGCTTTGAACCTGGCTGGCCAGGGAAGCAGTGGGGGTAGATAGAGCTGTCTTTCCTTCTGGGCTGTCTCCATCTGTCCCTACCCCTTCCGCGCCCCACCCCACTCCCACCAAAAAGTAAAAACATCAGGATGTTTTTCACTGTCCATTGCTTTGTGTTTTAATAAACAATTTGCAGTGACACTCTGTGTTGGGACTGAATTTGAACATTATTGCAAAGAGGTGATGTGATGGTGGGAAAGGGAGACCTGGGGAGGGCTCACTTGGCTGTGATGAGTTTGGGAGCTATTGCCCACTTAGCCGTGGATCTCTTGCTTTCTCTTTGTCAGGATGTTTGCTGCAGGGAGTGATACCCTGTAAAGCCTTGCCTGGCATTTCAGCCTGGCAGTCAGTGAAACATGGGTTACTGTGCTTTGTTTCTACTGTCAATGGGACATTGACTCTGGCACCCCTCTCCCAGGGTTACCTGGCTTGGAGCTGGTGTCAGCTGTTCCCTGAGCCTCCAAGACGGGCTGTTGACAACCTAAGTTACAGGGTGTTTTTCTCTCTGCTTTCTCCTTTTCTGATGAGTTACCAGTATTGAGTATACATTGAGAAGGGCAGAATACAGCAAGGACTTTTTTTTTTTCCTATAACTTTTTTTTTTTCCTTTCCCCCCGCCCCCTATAATTTATGAGCGGTGTTTTTACAGCTGTGGAAAATGAAGCTCAAAAAAGTTTAGTAGGGGGCTGGTGAGATGGCTCAGTGGTCTAAAGCACCTACTT